TACTGCATAATGACTAAATAGCACTGTACTAACATTTGCACAGACAAAATGCCCATTGAATACAGTGGAAGTTTTGCCTGAGTACAGAGATCAGGATCAGTCCTTGTCCCAATGGGTGCTTTTGAAAATCCCATTCCTAGTGTCTAAGTGGCTTGAGAACACAAGTCCCATTGATTTCAATAGGACTTGTGCTTCTAGGCCCTTTTGAAAATCCTACCCTATGCTATTAACTCTTGAAGTGTAACCTGTCAATGGCAGACTTGGAAATGATTCTGAGCGAGATGCTTAGCCTAGGGGAAGACACCTTTGGGCCAATCCAGTGGCACATGGATGCCTTGAAGCCATTCTATCACAGGGGAATCCCACAGCAACGTATAGCTGTGTCCACATGGGATGTTACTGCAAGGCAGGCTGGTGCACTCTTGATTCACACCCTGGCTTGGCGCACTGTAAGATGCCATATAGGCAAGCCCATAAGAATTCGGTGTGGTGGAGAAAGGCAAGTCCAACGCAGTTGAGGAGGGAGTCCTCTATTTGGAAACAATTTTCCCGTCAGCGCAATGCACTTTTGTTTCTGTCTCTCCCTTTTGCTCTTTCCTGCCAGACATTTGCATGACAGTAAGATCTTTGGACCAGATTTTCAAAAGAGCTTAAACACCCATCTAGGTACCTAAATGACGTTACCAGTTTTTTCAGAAGATCCATGGGTGCTGCTGAGCTCTGAGATCTTTTGAACACCTGGACATTTGTTTCTTGAGGATTCCTGTGGTTTATATGCCAGGGGAAGGCAGGGAAGGGGTCACATTTTCAAAAGGGCTCATCTTCTCACTGAATTTATCAACAGGAGCTGCTAGGTGCTAAGCCCATTTGAAAATCCGTCCAGTTGATTTAGGAGCTGAGTGCCTTTGAAAAAGCCAATCTCCACTGATGGCACTAAGAATATATGAAAATCTGGTCCATAGTGACAACACAATGCAATGACAGCATCGCTGGTCACTGAGGGAAGGGATTCCCCATAAACAAAAGATTCTGACGCCAGGTGAGGAGCAGAAGATGGACTCTTGATCCTCTATTCATTCAGTAACACTCATTATTAACCACTCTACTGAGATAAATACAAAAACCATGTGCCATGGTAAAATTTCCATCTCCTTTTTAAACACTTTCTAAGTGTCTAGGGCCAAAGGTGAATGCATAGGATCTGCAAAGATGACTAGCCCGTCTCTCTCTTTGCTGCTGGATTCACCATCCACAGATGTCCATCCCCATCATGTTGCCTTCCTGCATCCATTCTTCACGACATGGCCAGCCTACTTGTTCTTCAGTCTTCCAGATGTTATTCTTTTCGGTCAGTGCTTAAAAGGAGATGAGTTTTCATAATTAATCCCATCAGGTGATTACTATTGTCCCGAGGGGAATTAAATTAATTACATATATCTCATGCTAGTGTATTGAAAGGTAAGCAAAACTGTCCAGCTCTCACTCTGATTTTTGTAGGCATTAAAATTTAGAGATTGACCAAAAATGGATCTGAGCCACTAATGTAATTAAGCAGGTGCTTAACTTTAAGCAGGCGCTTAGTCTCATTATAGTAACAATGGAACACAGCATTCTAAATCCCCTTGAACTTTTTATTTTGACTGGAAATGCTAAAATGGGGTTCTCTTAACCCCAATGAAAATGCCCTGCACAAAGTCTGTTTACTCAGTGAGGTGGTAGCTGGTGGATTATTTAATTTTTGTGCATTGGGAATTAGAGAGGAGTAATGCTTTAGGCAGCAGCTAGTTCTGTAAAGTAGTGGAAGTCAAAGAAAGCCACACTTATGCTAATATTGCTATTCCACTGCAAAGAAGAAAGGTTAGCATGAGTGATCTCTCTCCAGTGCCTTATTAACTGCCTGCTTTCAGTTACAACATTTGAGCTGCTGCAGATTGGAAGTGATGTATTTTCACTCCTTGCAAACAGCTGTTCTGGAGTTTTAATTACGTACACCACATAAAAAGAATCTCAAATCAAAACACTTGGGGGGGGGAGAATTATTTTTCTCCCCCTTTAAAAACCACAATTTGTGTTTAGATTTCTCTCTATAAACAGGATATTAGAGAAGCAAATGTGATAACACTTACTTTAATGAGTGTTTCATGGTTAATCCATTTTAGCATTTGGATGCTCTCAGCTGGCTTCTGCAGTAATTACATTTCCATTATCTTTAATTCATAACTTGATCTTTCATTACAAGCAATTTCTTCCTTTCCCTTTTTTGTGCTTGTATTTGCCTTTGATGCACAGTGCTATGGGATGTTCTAATTCTGGATCTAGAATCAACCGCGTTCTGACTTTTTTTTTTTGTTTTGAGAGTGAAAGAAAAATGCAGACACTTTGCACCATGAAACCTCTGCGGGATGATGCCATCACCTTGAAGGGCTCCAGAAAGACTTTCCCCTCTCAGTCTGTGAATCTTTCATTCAACATACATTCATTCGCTGATGCAGGGGGGAAAAAAATCACACCGAGGTTTCCTTGTAACAGCTTTGGAGGTCAATTTTCTGGCTTTTTTGTTAGGAAATAAGGAACATTTTTGACCATATTATGGGCTCAGTTATGAAGATCCAATTATCTCAGCCTGGATTTTTTTTTTGACTGGTGCTTTCTCCAATGCTGCTAATCGTGATATCTTTTTGTGCAACTCTCAAAGTGCTGGGAAAAAGGTGATTGGTGAGGAAGTGATTTTATTTTGTTTTGGAACATTCCACTGTGATACAGGACTAGAGTTTTCCCTCTCTTTATATTGCGATATGTGTCTGGTAAGTCTTGAGTCATGATTTCAGAATAAAACAAGAGTTGTTCAAAGGGAATGTAAGGACTTTAGGAACATTTCACTTGCTGTGGAAACTTTGATTAGCTAATATACGGACATGGGATCAGGTCACCACATTCAGATCTGGATTTCCAACTGTTTTCCACAGTATGTGGAAATTCCCCGAAGTCCCTGCTTTCCCTTTGAGGAACGCTGACTTATTCTCAAATCTTGGTGCGAGACTTTGCGTGGGAGCTCATAATTTCAAAAACTATATTTTGTGTATGTGAGTGTGTCTGTCTAGGCTTGGGCAAGGCAAAAGAAAACCAGGAAACAAAGACAGGAGGCCATTGAACCACAACGACAGAAGGGAATTAATCTATTTTAACGAGCATGAAGTTTAAGTAACTGCCAGCAATGAGTTCCACATTCAACTTGCAACCCCCAGTGAAGTGTGTAATTTCTATTTCACCAGCATTGGAGTGGTTCTGCCAACCTTACACTCAACTATATTCAGCAATTCAGGTCAAAGCCAGAGCAGTTTGCCCAGCTAGCTTGTAGCCAATAGATAAAAAATTTTCATTCAATAAGAAACAAATATGGCAATGTCATGTGCTTAACCGCTAGCACACAGTGCAAAAAACATGTTGTCATGGTGATTGCTTCCCATGTAGAGTGAATAACAGGATGTTTAGAGACTAAAAATCTCCAGCCTCATGGAGAGATTTTTCTTTAAGGGGGTTGAAGAAAGGTAAAGGCCAACTGATGGAACCATTGTTTCCAATGTTACTCATGGTGATAAACCGACGCTTGAGCAAAGCGAGTGGCAAAGGATTTGGTGAGGTCTCCCATCTGCCTCAGACTATTAAGTGCATGACCTTTATGTGGGGATCCAGGAGCTCTGAAATATCCACATACAGGATATAAGCAGCTCATATCCATTTTTAATCTACCGATGGGATTTTTCTAAGAATTCTGCGAAGGCTAGTAAATCTCTCAGGGATTTGTTGTGAACCTGCATGTGATTATAAAGAGCCTTAAAGGTGAACGGAGAAGATTTTATTACAAGATGCAAAGTCCCAGTCTGGAACGGTTTCTGTTTACACTAGCGTCACCAAAAGAACAGGGCCCTCAGCCCCTCCCAAGGTCCTTGTGCTCATCGACAGAGGCACAAAGGGGACTTAAATCTGCTTTAAGGCAGCACGGAGGATTCTTCTGCCAGAGGCATAATTATGGCTAACCAAGACTTGCCTCCTGTGGCATAGATAGTTCCTTCCTAGCATGCGGGGACTGGGGACTTGTCAGGAGGTAGGGACAGAGCATGAAGTGCTTCAGAGACCTTGACTGATAGAGCAACTCCTTGGGATGCTGCTGTAACTTGTTCCAGGGGTTCATTCAGACCCTAGGATCAGTGGTAGGTATTGTGAAGACACCTGTACCTTCCCACTTTGGGTGCACTGAACATTGCTCTGATGTTCCTGGGGGTTTAATCCCCAACTCCTTTTTTAAGCTAAATAAGAGGTCTGATTTTCAGATGCCCTGAGCTCCCATTGACTTTGGGCTATGGAGCCATAAGAAGAATAGATGACAAACCAAAGGTAGCTGCACACTGATGCTAGGACTCATTTGCAACACAATGTATCTCAAATCCACTAACTGGGCTGTTATTTTCTTCCTGCAATTTAAATTAAAACCAAATTCAGTGCTAGGGAAGGCTAGAGTTAAAAGAGAAGCCAGGGAAAAGAAAGAACACGTAAACGTGGAAACAAAAATAGCAGCCTGGGAAACTGTGATTCATTGAACAATTGAAGTGAGATTCAAATCATAATGTTCCAAACCCTGGTACCTTTTCCTTGGCTTCTGATAATGCATCACAGTCAATGAATGCAAAAAATAACTACAAATGGGATTGTTTGAAAATGTAATTGGAAGTTGCCAAGGCCGAATCCCCACTCTAGCACTTCGAGTGCAGAAGGTGGGGGCCCGCAAGGATTTAAATATTTAATACTTGCCACTCCAGGCATGTATTACACTCCCAAGGTTACAGCTTTTCTCTGACCTTGGCTTGGTAAACGCTGCCACCACCCAAATGAAAAAAAAACCCTTGAAACCAGGAAGGAGCACTTGGGAATTCCTCCCTGTGGGGTACCCTCAAGTCCTTTCACCGCTCTCCAGGGAAGAGCTGAGAAAGAAAACAAAGGACATTAGCTGTTGCCACCTGTTAATTAAACAACATGTGCACAAACCTCTGAGGACACCAAAAACCCAATCCTGTTCTTAAAAAAGGTAAATTTTATTAAAAACAAAAAGAAAGAAAATACATCTGGAATTTAGACTTTTGCTAGATTTTAGAAGAGCAATTCCAAAAATCAAGCACCCAAAATAGCTGTCTTGGGGGTTCAGATTAAAGGTTACAAGCAAACAAAAGCATCTGGGGTTAGCACAGAGGAGTCCACAAGCCAATAAGAAATAAAAGAAATAACCCTAACCGCATCTTTATAGATATTCCCTAATTTCCTTACATATCTGAGGCTTCAGATAAGTAGGTTTGAGGTATGACTTGATCATCTATAATCATACCTGGCTTAGAGCTGCTTACAGCATTGCTGCTCCGTGTCCCTGCAGCCCGGAGAGAACAACGGACAAAGGGAAAGTTTCTGTCCCCATTTTAAAAAGTTCTACCTTCCCATTGGCTCTTTTGGTCAGGTGCCCACTTCCTTTTCTTTGCCGGGGGACTTTTAACCCTTTACAGGTAAAGCAAGCAGAGAACAGCTACCAAGAGGGATTTTACAGTTAACTGGCCGGTTGGGTGTCCATAAAAGGGAGCTACCCCTGCCCCCCATTTATCACAGAAGTGCTGTGGGAAGTGGCTCTGCTTCAAAGAAAGAGAAAACGAATCTGGCGATAATTTTTAATTTGTACATTAAGTCCCCTGATGTTATCTATCCTGCTTTGCAGTGTTTATTTTTGAACAAATTATGGCTCATCCTTGAAAATAAAATAGCTGATTAATCTTTGAAGTGGCTGATTACTGAACAGAGGAACTGTTAACGGGTGCATCCAAGAAGCACACAGTGTGCATAACTCACCGGTCAGTGTGTATTGTGTACCCCAGTCGCTGCCAGATCCACATAGAATCTGCTACAGTTGTCAGCTGGGGAAGCTAGTCCTCTAGCTCAACTCTAGACATGCTTGCTCTCAGCTCTGGAGCCTCCCAGTGATTATAATTGCTATGGGTGCATTGATCACCACCTGCTCGTGGTTACATCTCTGCTTTCAGAGGGGTGTGGAATACAGACATTGCACTCTTAGCTACCATGGGTATAAACAGCAGTGTAGCTGGTGAGACATGGCTGAGGAGAGTGCCCTCTGTGCCTGACCCTCTCAGGGGGTAAACTTTACATGGGCTCTCAACATGTCCAAGCAGTGTGTCTACACTGCTACAAATAGCAGTGTAGTGTTCTGCTGCCTCCCTGCTGCCCGAGCCTTTTCCCACCACCTCCTCCCTGGTGTAGCCTTTCACTGCAGTAGGACGGCGGTACACGTGTAGTGCCTGTACTCTACACACAGCCATAAGTGTAGACATGGCCTGTCTCATGGTTGTGGAGCAGTTTGCACCTCTGTCCCCTTTCTGGTCTCTCTGGGTATGTCTACGCAGCGCACCTCCCAGCCCGGGCTGACAATCCTGGGCTAGCCTGGCTGGCGCTAGCACTCTAAAAACAGCTACATAGAGACGGTGTTTTTGAAGTCGTGGCTCAGGCTCTGAAGCCGAAGGTGCGGGGAGAAGGGGCTTCAAAGTCTGAGCTCCAGCCTGAGCTGCCACGCTAAACACTGTTGATACGGCTATTTTTAGAGCACTAGCGTGAGCCCTGTTAGCCCACGTATGTCAACCCGGGCTGGGAGGCGCGCTCCAAAACACCGAGTAGACGTACTCTCTGAGTGCACCCCCTCAGAGGTGAGGCCTTGTGCCCTTACCTGTCTTGGGTGAAACGTTGCAATTCTCCCACTCACATAGACTGGGCTCTGAGTACAACATCCCATCTATGCTAACCACTTCTTACCGTGCAGGTTTGACTAGACCAGCTTGGTCTCAGTTTTGCTACCAGAGAGTGTGTCCCCCAGTCTGTCTTCCCCCTTTCTTAAAGGCCTACCATCCCTTTTTGAGCCTGAGCCTAAGTTCCATATTGCTCAATAGCCTTTGTTACGGGCTCTAGGTGTGCAGGCTTCCTTCTGCCTGAGACTGGTTCTCCCAGTCGACCAGTCAGACTATCTAAGCTAATGTCCCTGTGGTGGTGGGACGATTTGAGGAACCTGTCTGTACGGCTTATAAATTCTGGTTAATGCTATGAAGTTGTTGTTATAAAATTGCTAAATAAATTAAAGGAGATATCCTATCTCCTAGAACTGGAAGGGACCTTGAAAGGTCATTGAGTCCAGCCCCCTGCCTTCACTAGCAGGACCAAGTACAGATTTTGCTCAAGATCCCTAAGTGGCCCCCTCACAGATTGAACTCACAAGCCTGGGTTTAGCAGGCCAATGCTCAAACCACTGAACTATCCCTCCCCCCCCCAAGGGAATGCAGCCATGTGGATGTGGAATCCACCACTTGCTGATAGAGCTCAAAGCACACTTTTGCCAGGCCAGGGAGAGTCATTAATCTTAAAGACTGTACTCTGACCAAACCATTGCTATGCTAAAGTGGCTGTTTGGAGCTGGGCAAAGCTACTTCCCCCAGCTTGTCTGCAGGGGGTTGGTGAAGGGGAGAATTGAAAAATACCAGCAGCAGAACAAAGAAATAAGGTGTTGGTTGGAGGACATATAAACTTAAGAGACCCACTCAGAGAGGAAGAGGAAGTTTACGGGCAGGAGAGAAGAAGCGACAGGCAGGCTTTCGTAGCAGGGGGTCCTGTTTAACTGCAGAGCAGCCAAGGTCCGAGAAAGCCAGTTGAAATATAGAAGGCTCCATGTTTCAGAATAGAAGTCATGAGCTGCAGCAAACTGGGCACCCCAGAGAACTGTGCCCAAGAATTTGGATGTTGATTAACCCACCTTTTGGAACCCCCTGCTAGTCTTGAAAGACACGCCATGGGTTCATTAATGAATGACTATGAACAGTCCAGACTTCGGCTTTGGGTCTCCCCTGAAAGATCATTCTACTGAAAAAAAAACCATATGGAACTTAAACAATTTGAGCAAGGTTTTTGCAATAACCTTCCTCATCCCGCAAGCAGTAGAAGGCTGAGGGGAGAATCAGCCAGAATTTGCATGTTGGCACCTGGAGCAGGAATAATTTGATGTTCTAAACCTGCTAGAATCTGATGTTTCCCTCTTTAATATTCATACATAACAGCAGCTGTTGAGGGCTGGAAGAGCTTGCTGGCAGCTCTGTACTAAAATTCGGCCAGCTGACAGCTACCGGCACTGGATATCTGGGGTAGTGAAAAAAGTTCATTGGGTAAAATAGACCAGGGATTTAGCAGTTAGAGATGGCATAATGGTGCATAAAATTTGGTAAACCTTATGCAAACTGAAGAGCTATTCCTCTGTTACTTGTAACTAGAATCACTGTGAAGAGGCGAAGGTGGAATAGAAGAGGCTAATTAAGGCCCTGTCTAGTAAAAGCTTTCCCCAACCCTAGAACATCAAAGGTCAGTTGTAATAAACAGGATATATGATGAAGCAGGAACAGTTGATGTCATTAATACTTCCTGCAGCTGAAACAGACACTGATTCAGAAGAGAATAGACAAACAATCATGGTCACAGATGGGAAACCAGTACAATTTCAAACCCATCACACCTTTTCCACAGACAAACTGGCCATGAGATTGAAAAATGTTAGCAAGGCCATGCAAAGGAAGGGGTGATTAAATTGCAGAGAAGGAGAAATACTATAGTCAGGTGTGTTTGATGAGAGTAGGTGGCATCCTGCAGCGCTCCGAGCAGAGGGAACATGGAGAGGTTTGGGTTCTGTGTCTACTCTTGTGGGCCACATAGCTCCGGGCTTGATCCTGTGCTCCTTGAAGTCAATGACAAACTTTTGTTGACTTTAACAGTGCAGTATCAAGCCTTCAGTGAGCTTGGAGGTCAAACCCTGACCCCTTCTTCCCTATGTCCTGGCAGTGCCTGCCCAGACTGCATGCTGTTCCCAGTGGCCCTCTTCTTGTCCCCAGTGCAATCCCACCTCTCCACTAAGAACAAGCTGCTGTCACGCAGGCCCTTTTCTGGATCATTCACAAGGAAGCAGCTGTTCTCTGCCTAGGGGATGAGTTCTCAGAGCATAAACAGGTATATATCATCCACTGAGATGGGATCTGATAGCACAAGCTTTTCTCTCATTCACATGCATTGAAGGGAGCGTCCCTCTCCTTCATGCTGGTTTCTGGGATGGGATCCCAGAGGGTGAGTCTTTTCTGGTCTGACTGTGAGGGAGTACTGAGGTTCTCCTTTCTTACAGGTTTTCTGGGAAGGGGCTTTTTGAGCGCAGAGGCTTCCTCTTTGGCTAGTACGTCCCTCTACACCATGACACGATGGTGGTTTTAGTCACCCCGGCATCACAATGCAATGACGCACCATGGTGATGCACAGACACTGTCCCGGTGAACCAGCTGTAAAATGCAGTACCTCTTTCTCTGCTGAATGGAACTCTGAATGCCTGGGTGCAATACCACAGGCTTGAACACCACGGCTTTGGGCTCCAGATGCTGCCTTCACCATTACCCAAACCTAGTAATATGGAGAAACTCTGAATTCTGTAATTCAATGGCCCCAGGTGATATCCTTCACAGCCTGTCTGATCTACATGGACAAGCAATCAGCACAGAACCAGCAGTGGCAAATTGTCTTCCATTTGGCCTAATGCATAAACAAGATCTGTTCTACATTGAGATGCAAAGAGTCAAAGAATACCCCTATGGAACTGAGAAGGTAGCTGGTGTGGAATAAATCCGTTGGGCCAAATTAATCCTCGGTGTAAGTGCAGCTCTCAAAGCTCCTTACAAGTGATGTGAACTGTTATATTCTCTCTTTAATAGCTGTAATAACAGTAAATAATAATAAATACATATTTAGGTCTCATATAGCTCTTTTCTCCATGGATTTCCACATATACCTAGCTTTTATAGTGTTTTTTCTGCCACAGATCTCAAAATGCTTAAATACACTGCAGAGTGTGAAGACACTGGTTACAATGCCAATGCTCTGATATATTCACCCTTCCTTCTCTTTACATTTTGACCTTTCCTCCAAGCTATAAGACTTTAAGCTCCATGTAACACTTCCTTAATGATTTGTGTCTGTCTTGATTTTTATAGATGTATCAATAATGTGCATCTGGTGTGTGAGTGTAATATAAATCCAGGTGCTTCCATAGATTTATATTATGGATTAATCTGGAACCTTCTTCTTGGGCACTGCGTGTGCCACCTGATTCAGGAAAGGCTACAGAGAGGATATAATGCCATGTACCCGTTATTCTCCACCAATGAGATAAATGATAAGGAAACATATGGCGTTTTGTAGTTCCTGTACTGTTGTTGTGGACTGATCAACAAACATTGTACTCATATTTAACTTTTATAGATCCTCCCAGAGCCAAATAGTCCTGAATCTGGACTCTATGGTGTTTGGAATGTGAATCTGGA